TGTACTTACTGGGGTTTCTTAAAATATGCGGAACATTTTTTTTTTTTTATTTAAGAAGGAATACTTTCATAATTTGTAACAATAATTTCAATTAAGTGAATCACTAAATTTCTTAAAGCTTTTCTTAATTTTAGTTAAGATAAAACCTTTTAGGAATATCCTTCAAATGGAATAGCATTTGAACTCTTGTTTTAAATACTCTTTAAAAGCTTTTCTAAAACTAGTTATTTCAATCGGCCATCTCATTTGACTTTAAAACGGATTTCGTGAGAAATCTTAAATTCAAGTACATCTTAAAGTCCTTCTAAAATTACTCATTTAAATCATCATGTTTAAAATTCATTTATTTGTTGCATGTACTATTGCAACGTTCTAAAACTTAAATACTCATAACTAGGGTTGTTAGTTACAACCTTGGTTTTCTTAACATACATATGTACGTATACTTTTTAAACATACATACTTGAAACTTTTGAATCATATAGACATATACATGATTTTTCTTAAACTTACTGCGGAAAATAACTGCGTGAGCGGTATCCATTCCCATCTCCACCATTCGTCCACCGCTCGCCATTGGGATTACTATGTTTCCGGTTTCGGTGATTTTGAAGATACCCGACGAGTCTGTGAGAGGGTTGTCTCTGTTTTCGACCCAGACGGGTGTGAGTTCTGCAATATTGTTGAACCATATTCCTACATAGCGGTCCTTGGAATTCGGTGGGCTGAAAAAGCCTAATTTGAATTTTGCCCCGGTCGAGACCAGAGTTTGGCCGGTGTCTTGGAGAGTTTGGTTTGGTTTTAAGGTGTCATCAACTGCCAAAGAATAGTGGATGCAGAAACTAAGAGAGAAGAACAATATTACAACGAACTTCATTGGTTTTGTACAGTTAAATGGAAGCAAATCAGAGTACAACGCGAAGCAAGGCTTTTATATGATAAGTAGAAACTTCTCTCCTTCTCCGAAGTTTTATCGGGAAGAGTAACTTTGACTGGTCTATTATGTACCAATTTTGTTTTCCTTTTGACTTTGTGGGTGTTGGACTTTTATTGTATATCTAAGTGTGGAATTACCTATACAAGCTTTATCTTTTTCTTTTGTTTTTTTTTTGTTTTTTATTTTTTTTTATT